GGGAGGTAGCCCCTTCCTACAGTTAATCAGATTAAGCAGAAAATTACAATACTCTGATTAGCTAACTTCCTGTGCAGCACGCTTTGTCCTATCAACGTAGTTGACCGTTCTGAGATTGTATGCAGTGAGCGCAGTTGCATCGGCTGGTGGTCACCTCGCTGCCGGTTTATAGCATTTGTTTTTCTGATTCCTTTTTTCGTCCAGAAAGCAGTGTTAAGTGCTTGTTGTCCTTCCATGCTTGTGTGGAAATTTATAAATTTGTAAAGACGTAAAATAGCAAAATTAGGGTCTAAATGTATGAATTTTACGGTAGGCAGAAATATAAATTGTAATAATTAACGATTACAAATGAAAAAAAAAAAACGAAAAAATACAATAGTTTATCATAATTTTTTTTGAAATGGTCAGATTTTGGGGAGAGAAAGCCTGTGAATTCTTCAAGTTGCTTTATTGCAGGATATTTTTGATGCATTATTTTGGTCCAGCACACGGAAATCATCGAGCTGTGTACGCATGCTTGCACATTTATTTATTGCAATCATATATACGTGGCTACATACAATTTTAGTTTTATTGCAGGTATTTTTGTTTTACTGCAATTTTTGACGATGATGAGTGAGTTCGACGTAGTGATCTTGGTGACTTGCAAACCAAATATTTGCATGCGTTTTAGGGAAAATCGATCTTTTTCTCGTTCTTGGATTCATTTCGATAACAGGTTGATAATTGCACATTGCTGGGGATGTGTGAGAGGGAAGGGTTTGAATAACTTGAATGTTAGTTCTTAAGCCGTTTAGGGAGCAACACCACTGGCAGTCTTTACAGCGTGGTTTTGTTGCTTGGGTCATTTCCAGTTGCTGCAACCTTTCACAAAGTGAAACATAAGAGAGGTTTTGATTTTGACTCTCAGAAGATGCGGCATTTTCATTCTTCACTGCCCTAAATGGCTGTTAATACGCTACTGCACAGTAGTACAGTTTAATTTATGCATGAATATTTTTCACTTTCTTGATGCTTTTTCGAATATATGCGAATGTGGTTTCAAGAAATAATGAATTATTGTTTGGATAAGGGTGTGGTACCACATAGTTGATTTTTACTTCATCGGAAAGCAGGTTACACTTGTAATTACAAAATTTTTTAATTTCAGGCAACAACGTTAAACGTAGCGTTCAATTCGCATACCCAAGCGCTGCTTGCTATAATGATGTCCAATAATTTTGTGGAACTCAAAGGATCAGTTTTCAAAAAGTTTGCTAAGGCAAATCTCTTTCAAATGTCGTGCAGGTAATTTTCACGTAACTCGCCGAAATTATAACATTTTTACCACTTAGTGCAAGTTGACATAGTCTGTTATTTTGATATTGCTTTATGCATCTCATTGTTACTTCTCTGACTGAGAGCTTTTCCACTTCGGTTAGATATGAACTTGATGCATCCATGTAACTTCCCAAGACCATCCAAATGGTGCTCTTTTTTATGGCGAGGAGGAAAGGAAGAGGCCTTG